ACACACACACACACTCACACACACACACACACACACACACACACATACACACATACACACACGAAAAAATGCGGTGGTCTTAAACAGGGGAACTCTTGGACAGTGTCAAAATAATATTTAAGAAAGTACAAAGGGACAACTGGGAAGTGATCGTTTGTGCATGTGAATGTCTTGGCCAGGTGTCTGTTAGAGTAGATTCGACAATGAATTGTTAAAAAAAACTACAAGACAAAATAAAAAGGGACAAGATCAATAGTATTTCAAAACTAACCAATCGTTTCATAACTCTCCTTACAAGATCCTTTAAATTATTGCGTTTTGTGTTTATATGTGGTTTTTTTTAATAAAAAGCCATTTCCGTTTTCATAAACAAGTTGCTTCTTTAGGAATTTTATGTCAAACAAATTCCCGTGAAACTAGTTATATCAGGTCCAAATTAAAACATTCTAGTATAAATTTTGTGTGAGTTATTCAGAAAAAAATTGTTAATTTTTTGTTGTTGATCACCCTGTATTTTCAAGAACTCTTTTCAACTGAAGAGAATCTAATAAGCAAACCTCGTCGCAACACTTTATATCATGTTCCTTGGGCTTTCCAAGTGTTATCACACCAGCATACCGTAAAACACTCAGAAATTTCTCAGCTTCCCAGGAAACGTACAGAGCAAGCTGTGAGGTTGTATACGCTCAGCCACGAAACGAATGGACATCATTTAACACGTCTGTAACCACGTACACATTCCTATCTGGAATAAGAGAGGAAAAGCTGTTTAAAAGTGCCTTTCCCAAGGACACAACGTTCGGCCCCGATGGGATTCAAACCCACGACCTTACGGTTGCGAGTTCAAGAGTCATAGGTGCAAGTTAATCAAAACTTTAAGCTAGAACTTTTCACCATAAAACACGTAATATCAATTCCTGGGTAGTTCCGTCCGAACACGTGTCGTTAGGAGGCGTATAAATGCCAAATTAGCTCTTTAAAAAAAGTATCGCACCTTTTTATATGTAAAGTAAGAACAGAATTTTGAATTTATATGGCATTTGTGTAGCATTCCCAGCCGATTAAAGTATACAGCCTCTGAGTGCTTTACAATACACCTGACTAATTATCCATCTATATAGATCTATAACAATGTTTTGTCGCTAATAAAAAAAAAATTCAATTACAAGTGCTAGATTTTAATGGATAAAAAGATTTCATCTCTCTTCAGCTACGGTACTATGCAAGGTTTTCCAGGCTCCGCGTCTGTGATATGCAATTAGATCTAACGTCTGTTCACCCATTGTGTTACGTTTAATAGATGGTGAAAGTGGCATCGGTAGCCTAGTGGTTAGGCTACCGGACTCGTAATCGTGAGATCGCTGATTCTGGGTCCGACGCTATGTCCTTGTGAAAGGCACTTCACATGAATTTCGTATTTGGCAAGGTCTTTTCGGAGCAAGACGTTAAACTCAGAGGTCCCTCCTCTTAAATAACTTAGTACAGTGTGGTGTTGATAGGAGGCGTTAAACCTATACCACTTCACAATTTTTTAAAAAGATAATAAAAGAATCTTTTTTTGTGAGCTGAAGTTGGAATGTAGAGTCTCAGCAGAATAATGTTATGGTATATTATTATTCAAACATAATTTGTGACTCAGGGAGACTCAATTGGAGGCTCTCGTGGTCTAGAGGTTACGGTGTTTGCCTTGCCTTTCATTGAAAAGGTCCCAAGTTCGAAACTTGACTACGACGAGCAATGCTTTTCTCTGAGATGATCGACTTTCACATCCTTTGACCAGCTCTAAAACTGCGTCCTCTTGTCTGCTTTCGTCTACACTTTCTGCCCTCTCCCATCTTCTCCTTTGCCCCCTCCTCTTGGCTATTGACTCTTTCTTCAGCTTTTCTACTGCTACTCCTTGGCTCTTTCTTACTGCCGTTTTTCAGCCACACCCCAATCTTATGTTAGGTAAGAACTACACCTAGCCTTCTTGGATATGGTTAAAAAAATCTCTGAGGTCCTGTGTGCAAGATGAGCCGTTAAAGATCCCTTGGTGGTCCAAAAATCGATAAGAAAAGGCTTTGATCGCCATCAGGGGAAAAAAAATCAAAAATTCCTACCGAAATGAAAATGTTTATTGTGTCCTGCACGCTCATTTGACCTCATGCAAAACCCCCCAAAAAAGAGTGGCGAACTAGTACATAAAGAATTTGTTACATAAGTTGTGGTGTAAGACCATGATTTATCCCACGAGTGAAATTGCCGAGTTGTAATCACAAGTTTCAACAATTGATTACAACTGGCAATTTCACAAGTAGAATAAATCATGGTCTAACACCATAACGAGCGTAGTACATTTTTTATACATTACTGATATCAGCTGGCAAAATAAATCCGTACCAACAAAGTTTAAATGGCCCGCAAATTGGACAAGAGGATCCATTTTGGAGTCTCACATGAAAACAAAATTTTCCTGCTTTCACATTTTCACCTTTTTACTACTTTGCTTACAGAGGGATAGAAGTAGAAGGCGAAAATAGCGCATGCGGTAATTTATGCAAATTGTTATATTTCATGTGTGAGATATCAGCTTAGCCTATATTTCAAGGATTTATTTTACCGGAAGTGCAATGCTAAAACAACTCGATGTATAGTATAAAAGTATTTATTTTAAAGGAAGTGAGCAGCATTGCACTTCCGATAAAATAAATCCTTACATTTCAGGCGGGCAAAAGCAAATATCTCACACGTGAAATATACAAATTTGCATAAATTACTCAAGCACTATATTTTTCTTCTACTTCTTTCCCTCTGTAAGCAAAGTAGTAAAAACGTCGATGCGAAACGCGCTCACCATGGGCACCCAAACACTAGATCTACTCTCACAGTCTCGTAATCCCTTAGACATGTAGTTGAGTATACGTGTAAATCTATCACGTTGCCCTTAATTTTGTTTTAAATAGAGTCAAATGATGGGCACCATAATGAACCGGGATTACGTCAGAGTATTGTGCTGTGAGGTTCAGTTCTTTAAGTAACATCTTTTCTCGAATAAAATAAGCATTCGATCTACTTGGTCATCAAATTATGTGACTTATCAGGTGCAGCTAAATTGCCCTCTTTCAACTTAATTAGCTCAACTGACGTTTGGGGATTAGTTTTTCCGTCCAGTCCAATGATTTACGATCTCTGGTCCAGACATTGCAGCAGCACACCAGAAAAACACAGTGAGTGGACAGCACTGGCCACTAAATTTTAATTCTTAAAGCGATGGATCCACAACACAACTAAATAGCGGTAACTACTTCAATCTAGTAGTACTAGTAGGCCTACATCTATCAGCTCGAATAAGTTATCATCAAATCAGTACGTTTGCTTTGAAATTTAGTAGTCACTTTATCAAACAATAAAAAACCCACTGTTTAGCTAACTTACATTGTTTTTCGAACTTTCGTTAACATTAATTCTATCACTAGATGTACATAATATACTAAACAATCTACTATAGAAATGACAGAAGATTACACTTTA